TTTGTTTAATTCAATTATTTTTTAGAAATTGTGTGATTAAATTAAACATTTTTCTTTTCTAATATATACTTACCATCCTATCATCATAGAACTTGGAGTATTCATTTTTCACTAAATAAAATTTTTTTGGGAGATCGATTAATTTTAAAATCCAAACCAAATACGTAATAAATCATCAGTCCTTTTTTACTTCTTTTGGAAAGACCAAAACGAAAACAAGATCAAATCGATGATCATATACCCCTTTGCTCGCTAATATATTCACGCACAAAAAATGGCGAAATCTCGAGACTTTTACGACGCAGCACAAGAAATAATGAAAAACTATGATCTAACACCCAACGAGATGAATGCAATTAAAGAGGCAAAATCAAAAATCACAAATCACATGTATTTTGCTTCAGCTTTTGGTGGAACAGTGGGATTTTTATTAGGTAAACATAGACGGTTTCGGCCGCTGGCAACAATAGCGGTAGGGGTGGGTGGTGCTATAATAGGTGGACAACTTGGGTTAGTGACGGGGTCGTTGTCAGCCATACGTACAATACATAAGTTGCCGTCAAGTGAAAAGATTTTTGCAATGATGAAGGATATGCAGATGGAAATGGTAAAGAGACGTACTATGTTGCCACAAGGTCCGACACAACCGGTGTCTGGAAGACCGTCACATCCGTTTAATAAATCATATGAGCAGAGTAGAAATAAAAATGATGACTTTAGTGAGACTGTTACATTCTCTGATGATATAAAACCTAGGCAAGATCATGCTGATCCGTATTTATATAAAAGCAGTAGTAGTGACGAGGTTATGAATGATGGTAAGGTACGATCCACGGATACTATGAGAGATGATGGTGTAGCGAATACAAACAATCAACCCGACTGGTCAATCAAGAACGAGCGAACGAATTCTACATCTCAAGATTCTTCTCCACCTTGGTCGATACCTGAAAACCAATCAGAACAAGCAAATTCAAAAAGTCAAACTTTAGCAACAAAAACAACATCTGCTTGGGATAAGATACGTGAACAAACGAGTCAGCAGCGACGAGAAATGACCTCGTCATCACCGCCATCTGCCTCCACTCCAATATGGCGACAACGATCAGATGGTGATGAATTCAAAGAAGCTGGTGTCGATGATTCAAATTACGATTACAATAATACCTTTTATCCGCCACGAACTCGCGAAGATACCGAGCAAGTACAACGCGAGGGAAAGATACGAACAAATAAATACGGTGATATAACGTAATTTGGCGAAAAGTTATAAAGATAGCATTGTAATTAATTATCTTCTGGCGTTTTGTCATTAGCATGACTATTATAATATAATCATTAATTCGCACTCATTGTACCAAACTATTACTTATAAAATACAATATCTAATATACGAAATGTCAAAAATAATTAATACCCGTGTGCGTGATATTGACGCTAGCTGAATGGTCTCTGTTCTAATTCAAAAATAATATTAGATGTTCAAAAAATGTCGTAAATTTTCCGATCTTTTGTTGAAAACACACTGATACAGCAAAAGAATGGAAACAAACATTCAGAGGGCCATCAAATCATAATTTCTTAATTAATGATACTGTTATCCTGTTAATAGTTGATACCAGCATCCATTTAAGAGTTCACATTAACAACAGGTTACTTCATTAATCAAAATCTACTTGCGAAAATAATTTTTCGTCCTTAATGTTGATCTTAAGTATTTTGGCATGATCTTTATAATTACGATTTAAGAGATCCACTAAAGCCGGGTAGTATCACGTGACATATAATTCGATCCGGATCTTATCATGTGATTCATTCGTATCATGTGAAAGGTAATTATTGGCTGAACATATTATCGGATAATAATAGTAAACAAGACAATTAGCAAATACAAAAAATTAATAATGATTAAGAAATATAAAGATAATTATAGCAAATATATAATAACAATTATATATATATAATTATTTAAATTTAATATTTTTTATTATTAAAAACTAGAATCAATGATTTATCTAAACATGTAATAAATATCTTAGTTAACTTTTACATCATCTTTATTTTCAATTTTTCAATACTTATTTCATATTCTTTTCATAAGTTTACCAATTTGAAGTCTTTGTATCTTTACTTTTTTTTTCACTTGAGTCTGAATTGGCTTAGGTAGCTCAATTATTTTATGATATTCATATATTTCAAAATCAATCTCTTTAAATATCTATTAAAATTTATTTCAAATCTTAATTATTAATAGCTTATTAAAACTAAAAATATGTTGATAAAGAATTATCAATATAAAAGCAAAAAATGATAAAAAAATATATAATTACACTGAGATATTTGTAGATTTGATAATAACTTTCCCTTTATTATTCTTGCATTTATAATTACAACTTTACTTATAATTAACTTTTGGATGAGATAGAAAAACTTATATATCTATTCAAGAATCTTATTATTAAAATCAATTATAAAGATATATTTTTAGCAAAAGTTAAGAACTATTTTTTCTGAATTAATCTATTTCTTATCATCAAGTTTAATAATTTTAAAACATACTTTTAAATTATATAATAAAGAACAGACTATTAGCAAATTTATATTATAAAAATATAATTTATCATATAATTTAATAAACTCAGAAAATTTAAAGAAAATTAATCATATAATAAATTATATTTCATCTATTAATTCATATTTCTTTATTATTATTCTCTTGAGTTTACTGTAATAGAATTCTAATGAATTTATTAAAATAATTTATAATAAAAGAAAAAAATACTGGTATATTTAAAGTATCTATTTTTCTATATTATTAGTATAATTATAATTAATATAATAAATAATTTCAGAAATAGAACAGATAATAATAGTATTCTTAATAATTTTTTCATAACTAATACTTATTTTTTTATATATAGCTAAGATTATTTAATTATATATTACTAGATAATAAATTTTATATAATTATATTTATATAATATATATAGTATAAAGAATAAAATTATAATTTTATTTATTATATATAATATCAGAAAAGATATTTATAATACTATTTATTTTTATATTACTTTGATTATATAATATATAATAAGAAAGCTAATAAGATTTAAATTAATAAATTATCTTTAATATCTTGATTATATATTACTATTTTTCTTATTAATAAGAAAATATATATTTATATTCTAGTAATTGAAATTATTATAATCTTCTTGTTATGTATTATAATATATCCAGATAATTCATATAGAAAAATCAGAATATAATATTATATCAAGAAAATTCATATAAAAGATTCAAGATATAAGTGATATTATTTGAAATAAAATTCATATAGAAAACTAAATTAAAAGCAAACAAGAGATTATATTTAAAACTTATTTTTTATTCTTGTATTTATTATTAACTTATTAAAATTACAGAACAGATATAGTATCTTTAAATAATAAATTAATATTACATAAAATTAATAATAAGATAAATA